TTGCGGAACCAGGCAGGGGAAAGGCTTTCAGTGTCGATATACAAATAAATGACAGCAAATTAAACTAACGACATAAACCTTGTAATCCACCTTTTCTTGGCTCAAGAGCCAACCCAAACTTTGGGATGATATGCCAACAGGTGCTCTTTGAAAATACAGGTAAGTCCTCAGCTTACCACAGTTCATTTTGCGACCGTTCAAAGTCCCAACGGCACTGAAAAAAAGGTAACTTACGACCATTTTTCCACACTTACGACCATGGCAGTATCCCTAAGGTCAAAATTCAGACACTTGGTAACTGACTCATACTTAGGACCATTGCTATGTCCCAGGATGATGTGATTTCCTCTTTGCGACCTTTTGACCAGCAAAGTCAATGGGGAAGCCAGATTCATCATGATACCAACTTAACCACTGCAGTGATTTCCCTAAACTGCTGTGGCAAGAAAGATCGTAAAACAGACAAAATTCACATAGCAAATGTTTCACTTAGCAACAGACATGTTGGGCTCAAATGTGGTTGTACGTCGAGGACTACATGTATACCTGACTCTCTAGGAGCGTTTTGATTTCGTAATCTCTGCTTCCATCAAATAAAGCCCAGTGACCATTTCTGTGCTCCATGTTTTTGATCAGTGTCTTTTCTTTGGTTACATTAAATATTGTTGTTTGATATCAACTGCTGAGAAGACGCTAGAAACAGCCACCGCCAAAGTGGTTTGAGGTTGTGCATCCATGCATTATCTGATAAGGAAACAACAAAGGTCAACTTTCTTCATTAAATCTGCTCATATTGCTAATGCTTGACAAAGCATCTTGAAGCTCTGAAGCCTGAGAAGGATTAATCAAAAGATGTCCTGTCACAACTCCAAATTTGCTGTTCAATACCCTGATTTAGAATAGAATAGAATAGAATAGAATAGAACAAGCTAGAGAACAGACTAGACTAGACTAGACTAGACTAGACTAGACTAGACTAGAATAGAATAGAATAGAATAGAATAGAATAGAATAGAATAGAATAGAATAGAAGTTGGAAGGGACCTTGGAGGTCTTCTAGTTCAGCCCCCTGCTCCATCAGGAGAACCTATACCATCTCAGACAGGTGATTGTCTTAATATCTATAATTCAGTATCTTAAGTGAAACTGGGAAGGAAATGTTAGGATGATGCATTAAAAAAAATACATAGTTATTCTTGATTTCTTCTCCGTTTCTACAGAATTTGGGTATTAAGTCCAATTCTTCAAAGTTCCACTTCAAAATATCCAAGTAGAAATTATTGTGTTAGACTGCCTGGGGTAGAGTTTGGGTTAACTGTTGGAGCTGCAGAAAAATAATTTCTGCCTAATCAAAGCTTCAACTGATCTCATGAATTGAAGTTCCCATAGATGCTGCAACTGGGGCAAAATGTAGCAGCCTAAAATTTTCATGTCTGTCTGTTTGTAACTTTCATTTGGGCCAAACGGTCCCAGAGGAGGGTAAATTTTTTTGAATGGACATATCTCCAATGGACTAATTTAAAGAACATGTTCAAAATGACTCCTGTGGGATTGAAATCTGGCAAAGTTATGGCACAAGAGTGCTGCCGGGCTGTCACAGCTGCAATCACATGTACTACTTTTTTTGCCTATGTGTGGTTATTCTGCTTCTCTGTTTAGGTAAGGAAATATTTCTGAAGTTATAATCCAATGAGTCATGGGTTGTCTAGCTTTAGTATAATTTTGGTAATTTCAGTACCACTGTGTGATTTTTACTCTAAGGCTTAAAAGTTTAGCCCCGGGAGTCTATTGGGAAGATGATGGTGCTGAAATGAATAAACAGACAGGTAAATAAACCGATGTTTAAATACAGGTAGTCTTCAATTTACAATAGTTCATTGAGTGACCATTCAAAGTTACAACAGTGCTGAAAAATTGACTTAGGACCGTTTTCCACACTTACCACCACTGCAGCATCCCCAAGGTCATGTGATCAAAATTAAGACGCTTAGCAACAGATTCATATTTATGACGGTCGCAGAGGGTCACGTGACCCCCTTTTGCAATCTTCTGACAAGTTAACGGGGAAGCCAGACTCACTTAACAACTGTGTTACAAACTTAACTGCAGCAACTCACTTAACAACCCTGGAAAGGAAAAGCATAAAATAGGGGCAAAACTCATTTGACTGTCTTGCTTAGGCTCGGTTGTGGTCGTAAGTTGAGACCTGCCTGTAGCATCTTTTTGACAGAGGTGGAAATGAAGGCTTCCTGATTGCCATTTTTACAAGCATTGAAAAGGATTGGTTGGCTCTTTGAAATTCTGTTCCGTTGAGTAGAAGCTAGTTTCATTGGTTGAAATAACCCTGAAGGCTGTTCTTCTGAAAGGAGAAACCCAGCCTTGGATACCTGTACAAAACCCTTGGGGAAAAACTCAAGACCTCTTAACTTTGTAATTTTAGATTTCCAAGGTTAGTAAGTAGTGCAGATTAGGAGGAGACTGTGAATAAATCAGAGGCTGCTTTGTATCTATGCTTCCCAAACAGTTGCTTCTGATGGGTAGGAAAATCTTAGAAAGATAAACAAAAAAGGGTGGGTGGTCGTATCTGCATGAACCCAGCATGAGCTTGGATAAAACAATTCTTAAACCTTTAGATCTTTCTACATTCACTGCGCTATGCGGTAAAACTTTAGCTTCAGCCATTAAGCTCTTAATTAAATATCACAATTAAAATTTGAGTTACGACTCTTCTTCTAAAGATTCCATTTGAGGGAGTTGCTGGGGAGCCAAATGTTGTGAGGCAGCATTTGCAGGCTCGCTTTTGATTTCCGGAATTTCTCTTTAATAAAGATATTTCAATGCCGTACAGGAGAAAGAGAAAAATTCATAGCATTTTGATACGTTCTTTGGTCACCTAGCATAGAAGATAAAGTTTAAGAATAAAACGGAATACTTGCCACTTCTAAGGAGAAGAATGAAGATAAATAAGAAAAATAATTCTGTCTTTCTGGCTGAAAGGTTTTAGCTCCGGAAATTATACATCAAACCTTATTTGAAAAGTACACTAGCACTGTTGGTTATTGTCTGGAGCAGAATTGCCTGGCTGGGGTTGTGCTTCAAACCACCACTGTGTTTTTTCCAATGCGCGCTTGGTCGTTTTTGCTTCTCCCATGGAGAAGGATGAATTTAATTATCTGATGTGCATTGTGCTTTATTTTTCTGAGAGAATACCCGTACAATGCAAACTTTCAAAGGACGGTATGGATTTTCTTAAGATATGTATCGGTGGGGATTGGGGTAAGAGGACTTCACGGATGTCTATGGGATGAATATGGATTGTGTTGTGTTTTGAGAACCTTCTCTCTGTGAAAAGAACATGTGAGCAAAGGCCTTAGAAGTAAAAGAATGAGAAAGTTAGGCATAGGTTTTGATGACACTAATGAAATCTACTCATTTTGGAATACTTGGGTGGGGATAGCAATAGAAATAGCACTTAGACTTATATACTGCTTTGTAATGCTTTACAGCCCTCTCTAGGTGATTTACAGAGTCGGCATATTGGCCAGTGGTGGGATTCAGCCAGTTTGCACCAGTTTGGCAGAACCAGTAACTAATTTTTTGTTGCCCAAGCCCACAATGGACTTCTGGAAGCGGCATCCATACATATTTGAATCCCACCACTGATATTGCCCCAATAATTTGGGTCTTCATTTAACCGACCTCAGAAGGATGGAAGGCTGAATCAACCTTGAGCCGGTTAGGATCGAACTCCTGGCAGTGAGCAGAGTCAGCCTGCAATACTGCCTTCTAACCTCTGCACCACCATGGCTCTTATGCATATGTATATGTGTGTGCTTGATTAGAATAATCTAAAGATCGTGCTAGTTCACAAAAACCTAAAGTAGTGTATTCAAATACAATGAAGCTTTATCTTTACTATAGTATTTCAATGGTGATTAGTCTATCCTGTTCTTTCAGTGCCTCCACCAACCTCCGCAGATGTGGTAGCTTTTCAGATTTACAAACTTCAATCCCTGTACACATATGGAAGGTGTCCAGGTTAGATAAGACTGGCATTCGTGGGTCAAGTTTTAGTAATAATCTTTTTTTGTGTGTGTGACCCTGTTGTCCCGTGATTCGGGATGGGATTAGGGCAAGTGTGTGGAGCTGAGCGTTTACTGACTGGATGCCCTTCCTGACACCTATGTGGAGTTCACAGCAGGTATTTTCTCTTTCTGCCCTAGGAGAGAAATATCTGCTGCTACCTGGGATTCAACTCTCAACCTTCTGATTGGGAGGCTTCACCACTAGGCCACCAAGCCACTCTTAGTAATAAACAATTAGTTTATGTATAAGAGGTTTATGGTCCATCCATTGTTTCCTCCTGCCAAAAACAAATGTATTCCCAATATGGGCTATATTGTATATAATTGTACAACAGCCACAGAAGACTCCAATTTGTGAGTGCAATTTCAGAACCCTTTTGTTGATGAACATTATTCCAGAATGAAAAGTCTAATTATACTTCTCATTTCCATGATAAACTTAACAATTTTTGGAACTGGAAGAACTAACTGTAGGAAAGCTAAACGAAATTAGCCTTATGTTAGGCCCAATTGCCTAAAATATTTATATCAGATGCCAAATTTAAGTTGGTGAATGATTGGGTAGTATTTAAGTCTTGAAACACTGCAAAGTGCCTTAAATGGAACAAAAATTGTTCCTGGTGTTCCCAACCTTCAAAGACCCATGTCTTGAATGTCTTTTTAAACATTTTTTTTAAACTATGCTGCTTTTTATAGTTGCTTATGATAGTTAACTTCTCCTATTTGCTTCAGCCTAGTTAAAATTATTGCAACTTTTAATGCATTGCATTTGGAAGGCAGATTTCCCTTGGTTAAACATTTTGGAATTTGTGTCTTTTTTAATTGCCCGGAATTCATGACATTAGTGCAGAAAAGCAATAAACATACACAATCATAAAAAACACATTTAGACACCCAAAGCAAAATCAGTGGCATATTATTTTTCTTTATTATTCCTAGAGGGACGCAGATTGGGGTATTTATTTATACCAAGAACCACAAAAACGCAAATGCCACGCTTGGGATGATGATAACGCTTGGTTGGGGTGTGTGGAAAACGTTGCCCCGTTCTCTATTTCGCAATAAAACATAATCGTGTTTAGCTCTAAACCTCACAATGCCAAGGAGAAAGTTGAAGGTCAAGTAGAGTCATCGGAAGGGCAGGAATGCAGCAGGGAAACATCTGAGACAGGAGAAGGCTGGCTGGTTTCAGACAAAACAGCTTTGCAATCAGGCAGGAGGAAGGACTAAAACTGCAAAGACAAAGGTTTCCATTGCTTTAGTCTTTTATATTGCAAAACTCCTGCAAACAAAAGCTGCTTTGCTTCTGAAATAATTAGCCACGCAGAAGGTTCTCCCTCCTGTTTGCTAGGGCTGTTATTTCTGCTGGCCTCCTCAATTTTCAACTTTGGATGAACAAAGGGGAACTCCCCGCAGATGCTAGAGATTTTTTTTTTTTTTTTAAGGAAAGAGAGGCTGGCTGGCAGCTGCATGCCAGAGAACAACTGACCCAGGAGATGGTCTGCTTTTATTTTGAGAGAGCAACCCGGTGTGGCCACATATCTGACTACTCTACCCAAACAGCCAGAGGCGGATCCTCAGAAACATGAATCCGAGTCAGTCAGTGAAAGAACTGGCAGGTCAAGCTTTTGGGCTGTGAGTGGACAGCTACAGAATGGAGCACATGGCAAGGGTACTTGCTGGGCATTATCTGGAAGGAGGTTTTTGGGTTGGCCAAGCAGGAGTTGGAGTCTGGAATACAGTGAAAGCCTTTTGCAATACAGACACTAGGATGCTACTGTGGGAGGACAACAACCTCCCTCCAGAGAAAGAAATATTTAGGGAATATTAAAAGGCGGAATATATTTTCCCAAAGAAAAGCAAGCAGAAGCCAGCTGTTAGAAATGCAGATGTGATAATCCTATTCAGAAAGGTTGGAGCCAGGAAGCTAGAAGCTGATGAGATTAGAAAGACAAAGACCCCTAAAATCTACACACCCCACCCAAACTCATGACTTTTGGGCATAATAGTATTAACTCACCACCACCAGAATACCAGAAAGCCCAGGTCAAGGTTCATTCCACGGGAACAGGAAACAAACTCAAAAGCCCAAGGAGGTATAAAAACCCACCATTCCCTGCTACATGTGGTCAGCTTTCCCAGAGCTATCTTTCTGTCTGGCTCTCCTCTTCAATAAACTACAACCTTCTTTCTAAAGCAGTCTCCATTTTGCTTATTCCCAGCTTGGACTGGACCCTGATGAAGATTTTTCTTTCAACACTACCAACAAAGGAGAACAGTTGTACTTCAGGGTTGAAACAAGGGGTCCTTGGTGCTCTCTGAGTTTGGTTGTTTTCTTGCAGGTACATTTCATGACCCAAACTAGGTAACATCATCTACCTCAACAACAACTTCACTAGTGCTGATGATGTTAGCTAGTTTGGGTCATGAAGTGTCTGCAAGAAAACAAGCAAGCTCAGAGAGCACTAAGGACCCCTCACTAGGATGCTAATTTGGGCAGATGGTTAGACAGTTATGTTTGCCCACCAAGCTTCACAAGGTCACTAAAACCACAACACAACTCACTAAGCTTGGCTAATTTTAGAGGGAGGCAGGGGTGAGCGTGACCTAGTATTCTGTGGGAATACAAGCCTTTTAGTTAATTTGTGATTTAAACCAGTGCTTCTCAAACTTTGCACTGGGTGGACTTTAACTCCCAGTGGCTGATTTCTCCCATGCTGGCTAGAGGCATTCTGGGACTTGAAGTCCACCAGTTAAACTTGCAGAGGTTGAGAAACACCGATTTCAACTATACCCTACATTGAGCACCACAAATCAGAATAGCTGTATGTTAGCATCCAGCATCTAAGACAATCTGCCTTTGAATACTGATAGCGAGCAAATACATACAGAAGAATGTTATTATACCCTTGTGCTCTTCTCAAAGCAGCTAATTGGCCTCTATGGGAATTTTATAGTTTTTATACCACTGATGGGACTTAGGCTACATTTTTTTCTTCCTTGTTGAGTCTAACAGTTTTAGTTTATGCTGTTTATTGTTTGCATTATGCTGTTATCTTGAACTCGATCGTAAGCTGTTTTTTCCTTCCTGGAAGAAAAATGACGAGATAGAGAGGGAAAATAAATATAGATTTATGCCACCTGAAGCCAGGCCCCTGTTCACTCTCTAAATGATATAATAAGCAAAGATCAATCAATAAAAATAATAGACTCAAGTGTACCCCTGACTCTCCCCTTCCCAAGAAAAGATCAACTTCCCCATGGTTGATTTGTGGTATCTTGAAAGCATTTTTAATTTTCTTCCCGCAATGTCGTATCTTGGGCTGTTTTTAGCAGAGAGCGGGGAAAAATAGTTTAGCCCAGAGATGGACTTCATCTTCCAGAATTCCTGAGCCAGCAGGAAGTCCACGGATCATAAAGATGCCATAGTTGCCCACCCCTGGTCTAGCCTTTCTTTTCCTTGTCCCTTGCTCTCCGCCAGCTTTCTTTGTTTTCTGTCAGATCACCATTAAATGGAGCTGGAATTCAACACCATTTGAGGACTCCATGTAAAATAAGTTTGCATAACAGTAGTACTTTTGAGGACCTGAGATGGAAATCCATGATAAAACAGAATAAGAGAATTGGAAGGGACTTTGGAGGTCTTCTATTCCAATAGCAACAGCAGCAATAGCACTTAGACTTACAGTATATGCTGCTTCATAGTGTTTTACAGCCCTCTCTAAGTGATTTACAGAGTCAGCATATTTGCCTCCCAACAGTCTGGGTCCTCATTTTACCGACCTTGGAAGGGTGAAAGGCTGAGTCAACCTTGAGCTAGTGAGGATCGAACTGCTGGCAGTGGGCAGAATTAGCCTGCAATATTGCATTCTAACTGCATCACCATGTTTCATCCTTAAGCAGTTTAGCAGTTCAACCCAGGAACCCATTCTTAGAAGGATAATGGAGGCATCAAGTCTGCAGTTAGAGGAGATTCCTACATGAAATCAGGAATCAATGGGATCAGGGCATCAGATTACAAAACCTTCATTCACTCTTATGATTGGGACCTAATTGTAAAAAATTGATTCGGTTCCAGATGGAATAATTTGTTGAAGGAACTCAGCCTTTGTCTTAGTGTGATGGTGTGAACCAAACTATCATATTAAGGCATCCTGTGTAGTTATTTGCTTGAATGTCATTTGTTATATGAATATAGTACTTATGTTTCTTAACTTTATTAACTTACATTTAAGGTTTAGTGCTTGGTGTGAAGCAGTCAGTTCTGAGCTCTTCCTTCTGATCAATCAGGTAACCATCACTTGATTTGTCCCTTCTGTAATTAAAGAAGAAAAAGATCCTAATTAAAGGGTAGAATTTTCATGCAGCATTGAGTATTAGTAGTATTAAAAATTAATCAGTAGTTTACCAGAAACAGAGAAAGCAGAGTACAACAGATAAGCGTTGGGCCAAAAACTCCCTGTAGGACCAAGAACATATTTAGTGAAACAAATATGAGTACTTGGAACAATTAAAGTGTGATAGCATAGACACAATAAAAATTAATGCTGTCTATTGGCTTATGTCATTTTTGTAAAGTGCCAGATATATTTGCTTCTGCAAACTCACCCATTGCATTCAAATGTGGTGGTTTTGTTATTTCTCTGGGACTCTTTCTGAGCAAGAACATAAACATCAGTGACCAGCAGAAATCTTGAAGATATCTGTATAATTCAGAAAATAACTAGCCGATGGAAACATGTTGTCTTCCTTTGAAGAATGGCCAGATCCAGATTCCCATAAAAGAATGTGATCAAATTGTAATCATTAAATCAAAATAAGTAAGAAAATGAAGAGAGTTTGTTGATTTTATAGGCTCAGACATATAACTGTGTGTCTACTTGAAGAGAATATTTATAGCTTAAGGTTAAACTGTGGCGTCCTTGGTGCTTTCTGAGCTTGATTGTTTACTGAAGATATTACCTAGTTAGGTTATAAAACATCTGCAACAAAACAACCAAGCTCAGAGAGTAACAAGGACCCCACAAGAGTGTTTCTGTTTGTCTGTATCTATTTTTGACCCATGTGGTCCTTTAGGTGATCATCTTCATTCTTCATGGCAAGGCACCAACAGGGTAACATGTTAGACCAGGAAGCTAAAAAAACAACAACTCAAAGGAGATAGGCTGCTCAGAAAATGATATAATATGAATGTCAAGTCATCGAAGATGAGTTAAGTCTGCAGGATAATTTTCTGACTTAAAAATGTATAGATATCCCGAAAAACCCCACTGAAGGCTTTCAGGAAACATCAACAGCTATCAAGAATGAACCACTAGCATAGTTTCAGTCACATTTCCCTTTTCCATGGAATGGATTACAGGTACAACTCAAGCTTGACCTTTTGGAAGAGCCATGGCGAGAGAACCGTTGACAGAATTGAATGGATAGGTTCACAATGCTATTTGTGGACCCTGTCAAATACATATAATTCGTGTGAGCCGTTTCCAATTTTGCCCACCTTCTCATTTCTTCTCCGATCACTTTTTCCCTTGGTTTTTATTTCATTTTCCCATTCTGTTATCTTCCAAGAAGTTGCCTCCCAACTGCAGTTATGCCTGGCATTTTCAGCTCTAGAGAACCTGTAGGAAGAAGGGCAAGGATAGGCTGGCATCTCTGGCAGATTTAAACTTGTATGGGACTGTCATATCAGGCCCTATTCTAGCATTCTAAGAAGGGACTTCTACAATCCAAGATCAAGCATTATGGGAGTATTTGAGAGAAGGACAAGCACATTTGCTAGTGGCCTATTTGGAATTATTTAGTTGATTCTAGTATTATCTGCATGGCTTCCTTTGAAAGATGTATTTAGCCCCTTGAGTTAATTCACCCATGATTTGAAAAGTTCTCCTAGCTGTCTTGTGGGTTGTGCAAAATCTGCATAGTTGACTGGAGCACTACATTAAAAAAAAACGCTCAGCTTATTGGAAAAGCCATTTAGTAGCACAGACTCACATTGAGAAATACAAACATTTCATAAGAATGAGCATGGAAGAGCATTTTCGGTGTATTGATTCCACTTTCTGGACGGTTGAAAATCTACTGAGGAGGCCGAGCACTGCAGCCATTAGGACACGAGACTTCAGGGGTTTATCGATTAGGTCCAGTAACACTAAACAAGCCAAATCAATACCAAGGACAGATTATTCTTTGGGCTGTCATCATTCACTTGTATATGATATCCCTACATCAGCAGAATTATTGGAACAGATTAGCAGTGATTGTGTAGGGAATGGTTTTCTGATAATCCTCTCTTTCTCCCTGCTACCATTTATGAAGTGAAGGATGTCTGCTGGTTGCTTACCATCACAGCTCACAGGAGGGTTATAAAAATAGCAATAGCACTTAAGATTTATATACCACTTCATAGTGCTTTACAGCCCTCACTAAGCGGTTTACAGAATTAGCATCTTGCCCTCCCAGCAAACTGGATCTTCATTTTACTCACTTGGGAAGGAGGGAAGGCTGAGTCAACCTTGAGCCAGTCAGGATCGAACTCCTGGCTATGGGCAGAGCTAGCCTACAATACTGCATTCTAACAACTGTGCCATCATGGCTGGACCAGAGTTTTTATATATATATATATACATACAGAAAGTTCTATTCTCTTAAAGGAAGCTTCTACTGTATTTGAAATAACTGCAAATGGATTTGTTGGCATCTTCAGCTCTGACTGGAATGGTGGGGGAATGGAAGGATTTATACTCCTTACAGACACAGCTGGTCATTTGCATTCTTTTAAAGAGTCCTTGAGGCCACTTGGAGGACACCTGAGCAGTGCAAATGTATGTGAAGTCTTCTTGGCTGCAGGATGTTTTCTGCCTTGTGTCCAGTGGTGGGATTCAAACATGTGAACAACCAGTTCTGTGTGTGGATGCCACTTCCGGAAGTCCATTCTTGGCAACAAAAAATTAGCTACCGGTTCTGCCGACGTGGTGCGAACCGGCTGAATCCCACCACTGCTTGTGTCCCTTCACTTTATAGGAACCATTTGCGCTTCAGTTTGAGATTCAGACAACACAGACTCATCCTCAACAGCCTGTGTCCATCTTCAACAGTGAAGGGACACAGGGCAGAAAATATCCTGCAGTCAAGAAAGCTCCACACCCATTTGCACCACTCAGGTGACCCTGAGGACACAGACAAACCTCCAAGTGGCCTCAACGACTCTCTAAAAAGATGCAAAAGATGTTTGCAAGGAGTCTAAATCCTTCCATTCCCCTCCATTCCAGTCAGAGCTGAAGACGCTTCATGGATGAGAAGCGAAACGTCTTCAAAGAAAAACAAGGAAGTCCAGTTGCCTCCTGAAAAGGCACTTTTGGGACAACCATGAACTGGAGGACTGAGAACCTCCATAGATACTTAACAACTCTCTCACTTTAGCAACAGAAATGTTGAACTTCTGCAGCAGTCTTTTGAGACAGAAGATTTTTTAAAGGAACCGAGAATGACTTGTGCAGCCTATAGACGTAAATTAAAAGAACAGCAGGAGATGGATGTTGGAATAAAGAAAAGGAAATGATGAACTTTTGTAGTAGTCTTTTGAGATAGATGTTTTAAAGGAACACTGAATGATTTGTGTAGTATGTAGATGTAAAGAAAAAGAATAATAGAAGGTGTTGATTTAGTGGAAAAGTTTAAATATTTGGGAGTATATATATTATAAATTCTTAATTTAAAGTGAAAAATAATTATGAGATATTATGAGTAAATGTGTAAAAGAATTTAAATTCGAATGATCTCTGTTGGTGAGAATTTTAGTGATTGAGATGGATGGTTTGCTGAAACTTTTTAAGTAGGAGGGTATTAATAGACTTTCTTAGGGGTAAAAAGCAAAGAGCCAATTTTATCGAACGTAAGTTTGTTGGTTAGGTTATATTGGAGGGAAAATTCTGTGTTTATTATGGATGAATGGTTGTTTAAAAGAAATATACACCTCAGCGAGGTGAAGATGGATAAATTATATGTAGAGTAAATATGGGTTATGATATGGCTTTAAAATGTATTATGCAGATTATGAATAATTTTTAGTTTTCAATTTGGAAATGCTTATATTGTTATTTTTTTTTCTTTTTTGTATTCGAGTTAAAGTATATTATTGATTTTACTATTTGTATAGCTGGATAAGTTTATTTAGAATTTGCTTGTTTATTTGTAACCCTGTAATCAGCTCTGGGAAGTGAGGGGGGAGGGAGGGGGTTATTCTAGGGGGGGGGATATTGTTAAAAACTTGTATAAAACTTTTCAATAAAAAAAGAAGTGTTGGGCTCAGGGATTGTTAAATTGAGGATTACCTGTATATTCAGGATGTGGTGAAAGAATGGGCTTAATTCCCATGCTTGATAATCTGATAATTAAGTGTTTCAGATTTGATTAGCATTTGCTTTCAGATCCCCGGGCTCATTTACACGTCACCACTAAACGCCTCTCCTCGTTTCTTCACAAATAAATGGCACCAGCAGGACACGGTGTCACTTCAAGGGGCTTCTTTCAACAATGCTTGACTGACTCTTGCAGTCACTAAAAGCTGTGCATAATTACCAGCGCCGGCATCTCCATGGCTCTCGGCAGATTTCCCAACAATGAGTAAGACGGTTTAGTTGAGAAAGACACCTGGCCTGTCCACCTCTGAACTTCACGGGGGTGGAAAAGAGGGGGAAAAAAACTTGCTGGCATATGGATATGAAAACAAAGGCACTTTGATTTTTATGACGAATTTGCAGGCATGTTGAAATGCTGGGTTATTTGTTGAGGGCTTACCCGTCAATCAAATGGGGAGGTAGGCAGAAAACGAAAAAGAGAACCCAAAAGAAACAGGATTTTTGCTAATGGAAATTGTGTCTCCCTGCAATGCAGTGGCATTTGATTTAGAAAGCAGAGGGGGGGAAAAAAGCCCTTAAGCGGGTAGAGATGCCTTCAATAGTTTACAACCAGCGTCTCGACACTGTCTGAATGCTGGAGGGATTATGGGATGGAAACAGTAATGCTTTGACCTGTCCTTGATCACGAAAAAGTATCACTTTTTTTAAAAAAAAGGTTTTTATTCCAATAAGTGGACCACGCAAGATGCAGTTAAGTCAAAGTATATTCAGCTGGCGTTGAAGCCATTCAACAGCCATCTTGAAATTTAGTATCTTTAGAACGGATCAAATTAAACCAATGCTTTGAAACCAACATGGGCTAATATATATGTGCGTGTGTGTCTTTAATAAGTTTAAATACTGGAATCCTAGGTGTGGACATTTAAAGTCAGTAAAATAAAATAATGAGCTCCGG